GGGGGCGGGTTTTGAGAACTGAGAGTGGAGAGTGATGGTGAGGGTGGATGAAGAGGGGGTACAAAGAGAGTTGAAGGAGGGTAGTGAGTGTGTGTGTACATATGTAGGGAGGGAGGTGGCAAGGAGTACGAGTACGTACTGCAAACGGCAATATCTTCTGTCCCCGGTATCAGCGACAGGTTATCCGCGCCCGCACCGAGTTGCTATATTCACGCGCATCATCAGTCCCGTTCTCAAAAAAAAAAAAAAAAAAAACTCCAGACAGAAAAAAAAAAAAGGAATAACTAGGTCAAAAAAAAGAACGTACAACTTTCTTGCGCACACTCAACACCTTGGTCTCCGGGTCGACGTCGTAGACGGTCGTCGTCGCCTCGACCACGTCGTTGATCAGGAGCGTCTTGCCGTCGTCGACCAGCAGCGCGCCGTTGGCGCTCGGGTGCGCGTTCGGCGGCGACACGGTGCGGCAGTCAATGTCCGACGACGAGGCGTTGCAGTAGACGACGTCGGTGGCCCATTTCCAGGGCCCCCAGTGGTCTTCGTGGCTGCGGAGGATGGTCGCCAGGGGCCCTCCGCCGTAGAAGTAGTGGTCGTTGGTGATGAAGAAGGAGCTGTTTTTGTTGGAACAAGGAGGCGGGGAGGATATGGTTAGTAAAATAACTCAACAAGACTATCTCGGGAAGCCCCGTTACCTCAAACTCGTCGCCGCGACGGCGTTGGGCGTCTTGATGGCCGGGTGGCGAAACTCGCGCTCGTACGTCAACACGTCGGTCCCGAGCGTGTGGGAGAAGAGCACAATGGCTTCGCCTTTGCGGTCGTGGTTGACGGCGAAGATGTAGATCTGTTGGTTTTTTTTTTTTGGCAGTTAGCGATTAGCGATTCGCGATTGAAAATTTAGACAGAGGGACTATATATCCCGTTACAACTGGGTTCGTCCGGATGGTGACTATTGGTCCAAGGACTTGCAAGCAAGGGTGTATCGAGGATCGAGGACCGCGTAAGAGACACGAATGAATGGATTTTACCTTTGATTTATCGTCCTCGGGCAGGTAGAGATCAATGCCGTGCAAGATCAGATCGTGCGACGAGTCGAGACCTTCAATCTTCATCTTGGTCGCCTTGTCTGTCTGTGGATTCTTGTCAGTCTTTTGGGCCCTCTCTCAAAGAAGCTTTGAACCCTTCGCCGCCTGGATGGTCAAGGAAGATGGGTTTTTGTTTGGTGATTGACATTACGCACCTTGATGTCGTATTTCACAAAGTACTCGTGGTAGGTGGCCGCGCTCTCGGTGTCGTGGCGGTTCATGGGCGGATAAAACGCCTCTCGCGTCTCGGGATATCCGCATGCTAGAGTTGAAAGAATAAAGTGTATAGGTCAGATTGGAGATTCCACGGACGTTTTGAAGGATCGACGAAAGTGAAAGGCTCGGAACTTGGGAAAACGAACCTAGGAATGCCGTCGCCGAGTCATGATGGATTCGCACGTCCTCGCACGCTTGTCCAACTGTTGTTGTTTGGCGAACAATGGGTCAGCGCATGTACATACACGTCCGTAAATACCAAATACGCAACAGTAGTAGGACGGGGGTGGAGAGTTCGGTGCCAGGTGGGAGGACAGATGGGATCTCACGAACGAGAATTCGTCCGGCACTTGTCATTGTTCACCGGCCCGTGATGCAGCCACGTCGTATGGATCTTCGCGTCCGTCGCCCGTCCACCGTACAGATTCAGTACCGGATATGGGTACGCGTAGAAGATGCCCGACAGCGCCACCAGCAGGGACAGCGGGCCAACCCAGACCCAGTTGTTTACGGCCATGAGTGGTCTGAATAGACGGCAAACCGAGAAACGTTGACGTGTTATGTGACCCAGGAAGCGAAGTAGCGAAGTAATCAGACAGACGGACAGTCGGTGGAGAGTCTCGCTATAAGTGTAATGCGGCTGCTGGGATTGATGCTGCTGCTACTGTTCCTAGGATTGATGTCCTGTGTGCCTGTCTGTACTAGGTAGGTAGGTTGTGGTTGCTTAACCGAGTACTGTCCTCAGTATGGTGCTGTGGGTGGAGAGAAGAGGGGCAAAACCTCGGCTATGGGATGTTTTGAATCTTGACAGTAGCTTCACTGATTCATTCGTATATTAAGTTCATTGGAGGGTACGGAGGAAAAGAAAAACGGAGACAGAGAGAACATGCGAGGCGGAATTTCCCCGTGGGTTCCTCCTCCTCATCCATTGGTGGCCTCTTGATCTTGGACCATATGACTAGGCAATTGACAGCCTTATATTAGTAGGAAGGGGGACGACCTGGAAGGACAGCGTCGTGGCTATGTCCACGCCCTCAACTTCTTCCATAGATTCCCCCCAAGCTTGTCAATCAGACTTGCTCGTCTCTGCTCACGGACGCGCGGTGACGACGCTCCCGCTCCCTGCTCAGACACGTTCCCAGCCCGTCCGTCAGAGTGTGATGCCGAGACACCACCGCTCCATTGTCCCGAGACGGACAGAGCACAGCACATGGGCTGGGCCTGGGGGTGAAAGTGCTCAGGACTAAACATCAGCACCCGGGCTTTGCGGTTGCTCCATCCCTGGCCCTGGTGCTCCGTGGCATGGTAGATGCAGTAGACCCTCCCGTCTCCGTACGGTGAGGCGATGAAGCTCGCGTGCCCAGGTCCAAACGGCCCGCCCTTGTCCCCGTCACTGATGAGGAGCGGTGTTGGCCGTTTCCTCCACGACGACTCCTTCAGCGGGTCACCGCCGTCGACCAGTTCGAGCACCGCCAGCCGGTAGTCGCTGGTCCAGCTCCCGTTGGCGCTGTAGATGATCCCTTCAAAGCCCGGGATGCTGACGAACGTGGGGCCTTCGTTGACGCCGTGCGTTCCTCCATCCGCCCTCTCCCACGGCAGTTCTGCTCGAGAAATACATGTGAGCGTCTCGGCCCGCGCGAGCTCGGGACTCTCCAGCTCGATCAAGAACAGATCCTGCTGTCGGTCCGAGTAGTCACCCAGCGGCCACCCAGAATAGCAGCAGTACAGCTTCCCCGTGCGCGGCAGGTAGAAGACGGTCGCGTCGATGTTCCAGTGGTCGGGCAGGCCCTTCATCTGGCCGAGAAACTCCCACGCCCCGGCCTCCATGGGGTCCTGGCTTCGGCTGCGCAGCAACAGCGTCCTGTGGGAAGGGTTTCCGACCTCGGGATGCGCGCCGCAGAAGTAAATGTACCATCTCCCCTCCAGGTAGTGTAGCTCGGGAGCCCAGAGGTCCACCACCCATGGCGTCGCCGGCGGCGGTTTCCACGCGATGATCTTCTTGCAGTTCCTAAAGTTCTCCATGCTGTGCGACATCCATATCTCGACACGGTCCCCGCAGGTAAAAGTCAGGTAGAAGCGGTTGTGCGCGGCCACCATCCACGGATCAGGCGTGTCCGTGTCTGCGATGATTTGGTTCGACATGTTTTCGTCACCCTCGTCCTGAGGGAGGTGGGATTTAGCCGTCGAGTTTTGACCCGGAACAATCTGAAAGATATCATGGCATCGTTTGCTGTCACGGGTTGGGGAAAGAATAGAGGGAAAATCGTCATCGACGTAACCGACCCTCATCGAATCATGTCCCACATCGTCTTGTGTTCCACAAGCTTTTATCGGGCAGCACAGATTACAACCTCGTTTACTCGTTACTGGCATCGCCCAGCTTGTCTGTAACGCAAATAATGTCAGTCGCTCTCGTTACATCATGAGCTGTCTGGCGGATTCAGAAGAGAGCGTGTTGTCAACCCCAAGCACCCTGACTTCCAGTATAGTCCTCTCTCTACAAACCGCGAAACTACCCCTTGGACAGCAAGAGGATGATAGTAAGAAGAGATTGTGAAGATTATATTGTGTTTATAAACTCATCGCAGATCGTCGGGTATCATGGTCATCAGCTCATGGTCACGTAACTCGTCAAAACATCATTCCTCCTCTTCCTCCACTGCGCCGATGTCCTTGCCAAATAAACCAATGGCTGGAGTGTACGCCGGTGTCGTAGATGCCAGCAGTTGGCTCCTTCGAGCCGCTGGCGTCGCGGGAACCAGGGATGCCTCTCTTACTGCCTCCTCCCTCCTCGACCTGGTGGACGCCTGCCTCCACGCCTGGAGGAACCCAAGAGCCCGTTTCTTCTCATTACGATGGAACAACACATCGGCGTCCTCCTCCAGCCGTTTTGTTCTAAATGCCGCATTCCTCCAATTTCTCAGCATTTGAACTGCATAGCTGGCCGTCCTTGTGGAGCGGTATTCATCTGCCTTCCTCTGATTCTCAAGGATTTGGCGGGTTGGCACAAGCCAATTCGATCCGAAGATTTCGAGGCGCTCAATGAGGTTCTTGCGGAACAGACCATCGGCTCGGACATTGGCTTCCTGCATTTGCTCGGTCTTGTTGTACATTATGATGATTGCGCCATGGGCAGTGCGCCTTGCATTTTCCACATCTTTGCGAGCCCGGAATTCCTGAGCTGTCACATTCATCTGACGCATCTGGGTGGCCTTCTCCCTCCAAACATTCAGTGCTGTCCGAGCAATGTTCATCTTGACTTTTCGTCTCATGATTTTGTATGATTCAGAGTATTTCACCTCCTTGCTCTTCTTGGTTGCGGCGCGCCATTTGTGAAAGTAAGTAAAGCTCAAAATATGCTTGCGAGCCTCTATAGCTTTTTTCTCTTCGATTCGGAGTCGAGCCTTTTCCCGCCACTTCTGAAGCGTATGTTTGCTTGCAAAATAGTCTGCTGCGGCTTCTGCCCGTCGTTCATTTAGTCGAATGTGGTCAAGCTGCACCAACCATGTCTGAAGCATTTTGCGGCTTAAGTTCCCTTGATACACAAGAACCGCCTGAGTTTCTGCTTGTCGGATCTGGCTTCTCTTGGCCACCATCTTCATCAACGCATTTTCAAGTGCTTGTCGGTCACGGACGTCAGCAGCTGCAACTTCCATCTCTCGGAGGTTCGCAGTCCTCTCTTGCCACTTCCCCAACGTTTTACGGAGGACTCTCTCATCCCTGATCTTAACAAAGAGCATTTCACGAGTAGCCAGTGTCCAATTCTTGAGCGAAGATGCGGCATCCCGTCGCATACGAAACCCATCCGCAACATTGTCCAGTTGACGAATTTCGACGACTGTGTTGCGCCAATGCGACAAAACCTTTCTTGCGAGGTTGCGCAGGTACAGACTGTCTGCCACTGCATTCATAGCCGGGTCTTCATATTCCAGGTATGCAGCTCTTTGCAATTGCAGCTTGTGGCGCCACTGTTCAAGCGCTTGCGATGCCAATTTTCGGTTGTCAAGTGCGACAGCTTGTTGCCAGAGGGGGTCATCTTCATTGATCGAGTCGATCGAGTCAGGCGTGGCAGGTCGCACTGGCATAGAAATATAACTGCCGACTCGGCTGTTCCGCCCTTCCTCGTAGTCGGTCGCCGCATCCGTGGATGTTCCATCGGTCGTCAACACTATGTTCGCCTCTTGTAAAACATCGAGGAACTTTTCGTTGAGAGGAATGTCAGGATCGGTCTCGAGGAGGTCGAGGAGCCACTGCAAGCACGCGTCATCGTACTGCGTCGATACGTGGCCTTCTGGGAATATGGCATTGTATTCGCGTTGTAACGCAGAGGGAGTGAAGCTGATGGCGGCTTCTTGGAGACGGAAGAGAACACGATGTAAACGGTCTATGTCTTCTGGAGAGAACAGCCTCACATCACTGGCGAAATGCGCCAATTCTTCCGGCGTCATGATAGCATCCAGAAAGCACCATTGTTGCAACTAACGATACTTGTTGGAAGCGACAAACGTACTCCGTATTGTGCATTGAACTCATCGAAGAGACATGAGGACCGCGTCTGATGGCGTGAGGCCTTGGCAGGGGACGCGACAGCACGTGATAGATTGGGAAACTTATCCGGAATATGAAATTGTTAAAACAGCATCTTCTACGGCCCCTTTTCCCCTTCAGCCCTTCGATGTTCTCGCGTCCGATAATAATTCCTTATCGTGCATACGACATATTCGGACCACTTGCAGCCAGGGTCTTACGCATCAGACTGCTTCTCAAGTCTTCTCAAGAGGGACTGGCTCCAGTCATTCTGCAAGAACCCCAAACGACCAAAATATTACTATGTTAACGGCTGACACATCGCGTAAACTCCGCCTCGTCTGGCTGACAATCTTCAGATGTTACTACACTAAGTTCAGTCTTCTCCAGTTAGCCAACGCGAATTCTGGGGAAGTCGGCACAGCGCCGCTGTATGCCGTTTACCAGCCTTTTCCTCCTTGAGTACTTTGCTCCGAGCTCTCGGGCGGCAAGGATGACGAGGCAAACCATCACCGTCGACATCCAATCGCTACGGCGTGTTGACTAATAGCGCGTCGACGAGACCCAACCGAACCAGCCTCGTCGATCTTACCCCTGGCTCCGATGTTAACTCGAGGTCAAACAGGTCGAATTGTGCCATTCCCCGTATCTCAGGCATTGCAGCTTGAGTTTGCGTAACCGAAAACGGCAATTACCCTCCTGAAAGTGCGTCCCGTCGACATGCCAATTAAAAACTGCTTTGAGCTGCCCTGCTCGAAATGAAACCGTTCAACAGCCTTCCGGTGGAATGATTCTAGTCTCCTTCATCGAGCTGCGTCGTCTTGTCTGAAATGATCGGCGTGAAGGACGAGAAAGGGAAAAGGTGTCTTGAATCATAAAGGTCCATGAGAAAGCCGAGTCTCGCTTGTGTCAGGTCTTGCATATGGCCGCCGTGGCGCTTATGGTGAGCTTCGTAGCACGCGGGATTAAATACAGACGGTAAGGGTCCTT